ACCCCTCAGCATGTCCTCGGGGAATAAATTCCCACGCACAACGCCTACGATCCATCATCGACCCAAACACGCGGTAGCGAAGCCGTGTCGGAGGTATCTTCTTAAGAATTGTTAAGAATGTTTTTCGTATTTATTTTGAGTTTGTGACGTACTTCAAAAACCAAAATCGCTATTTTCACATTGTCACTATAATATTCTGTTTTTCTGAAAAAATCCGGATTTTTTGGGTCTGAGTCCTAATAAATAGAAGACCGAACTCTAATCGGGAAAATTCGTTAATAAAGCGAAACAGGTCCTTTTACCCTTTTCACCACTTAATATTCAGCCCATTTATTATTTCTTGTTTTCCAAGTGAAGCTGATGCCTTAAAATATATGATTAAAAATGCTCACGATATACCACAAAATAGTAGTATTCTGTATAATTGTATATTTTCGCTTTTTGGCCATGGTTTGGTGTCGACTGCATAAAATCGTGAGGCTATATGCTTTAAGGCTGAAGGACACAAACGTCGGTGAAAAATATTTATAGTCACGGGCGATTATCACTTAGCACAAATATGGTTATGACGTAGGGCATAGACGCAGGTGTCAATGAAGCGCGAGGAAATTGGAATGCGACGACGCAGTACCAACTTTTACAGACAAGATCATAGTAGGTACGATTTGCTGAAAGAAAACCATCTTTTTCGAAGTGTATACTCTCAGTCTAGCCCTTACGCTTATATATAAATATGAGACGACCCAGAACCAAATGATACTAATCAACCATTTAGAGTTATCGAGATAATCGCCTCCAAAGATGGCCGATCGATTTTCGTACCTATGGGAAGTCCTGAGAAAAACGCTGATTTCTGTTTTGAAAACTCGTACTGTCACTAAAGTGATCTCGATCTGCGGCTCACAACAAGATACCAGTGTCCCCGTTAAGAATGCCAGTTGACCAGCGCTCTCAGCAGTTCGGAGCCTCAGCCGCTGCGTGCCATCCAGCAGTTCCAGCCTCAACGACCACGCAAACCTCCGCGGATTCTTCGTGCGTGGGAACACCCAGCGTCCAGCCATCCTGCGCGAGCCCTGGCGCCTCTCAAGTTGCTAACGTTCAGCTAGCCCAAGACACGGAGCCTGTCGCGCAAGCTTTGAGCGAGGGGAGTGGAGAAGAGTACGAGGAGCTGGACAGCGAAGAGCCTAGCAATAGTGGAGACGAGGACTGGAGCTATGATGAAGGTGCAGTGGAGGAAGAGCAGTTGACTGGAGAGAGCGCAGAAAGCGCTACTGAGGGTGATGACCAGGAGGACATTAGTATCAATTTGACTGACGTCGACGTTCTGCAGTGCGTAACGACACTAATTCGCGAGGACGAGTGCGACAAAGGTTGCCTCGACGGGAAGGTTGTCGAGTTGGAGTGGCTTGTTTGCTCGCTGGATCAGCTAACAAAGACGGAGAAAACAACTTGCATTCTAACTCTCCTCGGGGTTCTGATGCAGACCGACACGGTTGAACGGCGCCGTGGCAGCGGGGCGCGCGACAAATTCCACTACTATTTGCCGTTTGTTGGAAAGGTGTGCCGCCCTTCGTTTGCTCGCTGTCTTGGGGTACAGCCCCTCACCCTGCAGCGCTACAAAAGGCGCGTGCGAGAAGGAAACATCGCACCTAAACCACATGGCAACAAGCTCAACAAGAATGCAGCCAAGGTGGATTTGGTATGGTTAGTGAAGTGGTTTAAGTGTTTTGCCGACGAGGTGGGGGAGGTGGTCCCTGTTAGGGTGCGCATGCAAAAGACTAAGGACGGAGTGGTCAAGAAGTACTATTCTCGCGAGGACTACACCCTTATTCCTGCCACTTTTACCTGGGACCGCCTCTTCGATGAGATGCACAAGTACGTGAGTCTCGGTCTGCGTGTCCAAGAACCAGCACCCTCGACGTTTCGGAAACTGCTATCTCTGCACTGCCCCACAATAAAAATTCGAGCTTCGCAGTCAAACGTGTGCGACATGTGCTCCATTTACCAGACGCGCATGCGTCGTGGAGCCACTGCTGAGCAAACGGAAGAACTTGGGCAGCATACTGAGTCAGCACGGCGAATGAGGTACGAGGACATTGATATCAATTTGATTTATCTGTACTTATACCGAGGATATTGATATCATATTGATCTGCCATGAACATTTAGGCGTGAATACAAGAAGGATAAAGCCGCTATTCGGGCAGTCGATGGCAGCAACAACAATACTGCGGTGTTTGTCATGGACTTTTCACAAAACTTGACGATTCCGTCCGTAACATCCACGCCGTCGCAGTGGTACTTCTGTTCGCTGCTGTCAGTGAGTCTATTCGGCATTTTTTACGAAAATACTGGAACGCAAACCAATTATCTGTACGACGAGTTCACCAGCGGCAAAGGTAGCGACCAGATAAATTCCATGCTGCAGCACTTTATCGATACTGTGCTGCTTCCTGCAGGCAAAAAGCGTCTCGTGGTGTATGCCGACAACTGTTCCGGTCAAAATAAGAACAATTTTGTGATCAAGTTCTTCTTGGCACAAGTGCAGATAGGCGTCTTTGAACGGATTGACTACAAGTTTTTCGTCAAGGGGCACACGAAGAACTCTTGTGACCGTGGATTCGGCCACATTCGAAAGCACGTGGGGAGGTCTGACTGCTGGACGATGGATCAAATTATTGCCGCTGTCAAAGACTCAGCTACGTCCAACACCACTGTGCGCATTTCCCGAGAAGATTCTTTCTTCAAGAGCTACAAACCTATAATGAGTGAGCTGTATAAAACGTTGGTCGGTGTCCAGCAGTACCAACTATTTAGCATGGAAGAAGGCAAGCCTGGTGTAGTTGAATGTAGGAAGGGCCCGGACGACGAACCAGTTGAGCAGGATCTACGACGGAAAATCGACGATGTATTGACAGACAGCGTCAAAGTGAATCGCATGATGGACCATTTTGTGGAAAAGTTAAGCCCTCCGCCACCCAACGCCGAGAAAATGGCGGACCTATACAACAAGATCCGCCCATACGTGCCAGAAGAGTATCAGGAGGATTCGGTTTACGCGGCTCCAAGTAGACAGCAAGGGGACGATGCAAAGGCTGCGAAACAAGCTCGTAGAGAGCACCGTACGGCCATGGCTATTGCTGCAAAGAAGAACTTCGATCAACGAGGGAGAGACCCAAGCCCCGCACCGAAGAAACGAAAGCGAAACAACTCTGAGACGGCCGTTGTTTAGTGCAGATGCAGTGACTGTATCCTACCACACGCAGTATTTCAATTTGATACTAACCTCCGTAGGTAATCAAAATGATGCTTATTCGATCGATGTGTCATTAATCTGAAACTCTACCTTAAAACTAGTTTTTAAGCATCTTCTGCTACAAACCAAGAGAAACAGATAGCACCACTGAAACCGCACGCTAATTTTACCCCTAGACAACCAAAAAAAGTTTTTCGAGTTTTTGGTCTGGGAAGGGAGATATTTTTTTCGAGAGCTCACATCTTGATATCTATCAACTCCTGGAAGCCGTGCGGGGTCTCAAAAGAAAGAAGAGATCCCCCTCTTCACGTAGAGATGCCTAAATCGCGATTCGTACCTAGGTTGATTAGCATTCTTTTGTTTGACGCTGTCTCATATATAAATGTACTGGCAATACAGACCAAATAACGTTATATACCCAAAATTGCGGCAGAAATTGTGCCTACGATTTGATTTTCGTAATATCGGATCTTGATTATGAAAGCTGATTTGGTAGTGAAAGCTTTTTGCTGAAACCACTGTTCTTGATGGCAATGAAAGTTTGAACACCATTTTGCTCACTGTATCTGAGTCATCAACAATATAGAAAAGCCAAATAATAATCCAATATCAATGTAGTGGCTCTATCTTGTGCCCAGACCACGGAAACTGTATGACGTGCATAATGGTTGCGACATATTCGAATAGCACCAGAGCCTGCCGAAAAAAGTCACCGACGTTATCACACGAAAATGATCTCGACTGCGATATCAAAAAAACATGCGACACGGTTCTAGAACTTTCTATTCTGCTGGACATGAAGAATTGGTTCAAGCTAAAGTTTGGACATTGGTGACAGTCGGCTTTGAACTTACTTGGTAGAGAAGAATTGCCTGAAAAGCCCAGCCAAAACATTGAGCCTTCCCGCATGTCATCTAGGCGTTTAAATATCTCGTCGAGTCGCACATTGTAGCACTAGTAGCATCGTTCCGGCCATTTGTTGGCGGCACTTGACACCTCTACTGCCTGGAGAGCAGGTCACTCTCCAAATTCCTTATTTACTGTGATTCGAACCAGCCAGATATACTGCAGTATTCTTTGTTAGGTCTGTGTAAGTACTGCCAAGATATGATGAAGCGCCTCAAACTCAATCGAAATGATGCTGTGGTTTGTCGAAGACTGTTCGGTAAGCCATAAATATTGTAATTCTTTCAAGAGTGGCAGACTTTTAAAGTAACTCATGTTGCTAACGTTTGGTGGGTCCTACTGTACCAACGTTTTTTTGCGGTTTTGTAGGCCCCACTCCACAGTCTATTGAACCTGATCTACTCGAAAGCCCCGATGTTGGTACCATTGTGGCACTCGTGGGCTTCAAACTAGTCGATGGACTCGCTTCACGCTTGGCAGGCGCCGAAGGTCTAATAATTGGTATCTTAGTGATTCCTCCAGTGTCTTTCGATAAGCCTACTCCTGCGCGGATGAGGCCGGTATTACTTCTGGTCCCGACTGTTATTGACCTCCCTAAATTTGTGACCTTGGCTGCTAGTGGCATCTTCGCAAGACCCGCTCGAGCTGAAGCACAATTTGGAAGTGTCGTAGCTGACGGCGCAGCTTTGTTTAGCGCTTTAGCACTGGACGCTTTTATTTTAGTCGGATCAGGCTTAGAGCCAATGTTATACACACCTCCAATGTTCCCATTGACATTCATTGCATTGCGTCCCGTATCCTTTCCGGGTAGCTTCACAAATTTATTTACTAAATCGAATGACTTAACGCGAGCTCGTCGATTTACTTGGCCGTCCGTTCCTACGAACAAGGTGTACTCAAGCATGGTAGACCATCTCGAGTCTACCAATGATTCTTCGTGGTCCTTCATAAGCCCCAATAATTCCTCTTCACTTAACTTTCGCTTATCGTCTATATCGTCTTGCAGTCGTCGTTTGTGTCCACAATTGTTTGCCTCGACAGCTTGACGAATTTCCTGAAGTGTATTCGCAACATCGCGATCACGGTCAGTCTTTGATTCGTCCAAGAATTGTCCAATCCGATCGACAAATTTTCGGTCCGGTAGATAACTAAGAGCAATTTTCCACATTGGTAAAAGTAAGATTGCTTTTATTCGAACATTGGCCACAGGGTCACCGAGTAGATCGAATGCTACCTCGAAAAAATTGCGCTGACAATAAAGTCGACTATTCACATTCAAAGCGTAAAAGCACGCATCAAGGTAAAGGATACGACGCCAGTAGCTTTTTCCTTGACCATATTCGGTCCGAAGTCTGCTGAGCAAGGATGTTCGATGACTGACATTGTTGTCATTCCGAATATATTTTAGGAGGACTTTCAGAGCAAGCACTTGAACTGGACGAGCGCCATTTTCGAGCAAAGCCAAAATGATCGGGACTACCATTTCATACGATTGCGTGGCAGAGATCCAGGGCCGAAAATTCTGCAGCGTTTCAAGCAATACGAGCTGCTCTCGATTTCGACTTGACGGGAGAATGGCATGGTACTCGATGACTGATTTGATCACCAACTCCATGATTAGTGTCTATGGATTTGAAAAAAATAAGTTAACGCTGAGTCTACTACGATTGCTTAGCCATGTAAAGGAAATCGTCTACCTTCTGCTCCTCATCCCCAGGGTCGATCATAGCAGACAGCAGTGATGGTAACTTCGAAATTGCCATTCCTTGGACAATGGGCGAATTATCATTGATCAGATTGAGCGCAGATTCCTTAAGGTACCGCATTGCTTGTTGCTGCCCTATAAGCACAGCAACTTCATGCATCCCGGCGGCTATATGCTGTCGAACCTAAAACAACCGATCGTATTATTAACCATAGGGCTCCTCAAATTTTCACCAGTACAAAATTAGAGTAAATACTTCATCACTTGAATCGCTAGCCAGCCTAAGTAGAAGGTCGTCCATCAACATTGATGCATATGCCGACCCAAAAACTTTGACAATGGCTGGGAAATTATACGCGCAAAATTGACGTGTTTCGAATTCTTCGTGATAACAAAGTCTTGAGTAACCTTGTAAGAAGACTTGGCCAGTATCTTTTCCAAGATAATTAAGTGAGGCTAACCTAGTAACAAGTTGACCATATCGCTCAGCTAGACACGGGACAAGGTAGGCAGGAATCGACTCAGCTATACAGATCAGTTCCGGAATAATTTGCTTGATGCAATCACGGGGTGAGAAGAAGTCAACAAGTGACAGCAAGGTCATAAATGCAGCCTGCTTGACCTATAAATTTAAAAAGCAGACGTGTAAACGACGGAACGAACTGCCTAACCGCTTAAAAAATGACCTGCTCCTCTTCGTCTTTTAGCAGCTCCAAAAGCTCTGAAAGTAGCTCCTTACGCGCGAAATCTTCTCTATGATTTTTACATTTTCAGTCAAAAGTTGAAGTAGCTGTCTCACAACTAATACATTACCCTATCGCCCGTGCAAGTCCATCGAGTTGAATACACATGCATTTGCGAACTTCAGCATCGGTGTCTTGGCATAACGACATCATCTACGACCAGAAACTTAGGCTAAGGTAAACAAAGTTTGAACGGCTTTTTTTACCTTTTGAAAATAAAGGCCTTCAATATCTGGTGCTGCAACCAGATTCAATGCAGTAACAGCACCCAGAACGAAACAGCAAATAAGCCTTGATCCAGGAGTCTGTGAAACGTCTCCCTTCTCCATGGCCAATCGAAGAATCTGCATCATTTTTTGTTATCCAGCTAACTTTTGATCTGCTTACTTGAATCGAACATTCAAACCTGCGTTTTTTTTATTGCAGTACCGACACGTGGTAAAAGTGCAACAAGTGCCAAGCTTGCTTCCTCGGCCTGATCCTTCTGCTGGATTTCAGCAATAATGTCGAGCGCAAAAGGAACAAGTAACTTAATAACCTGTTCCTCCGACAGGAGAAACACTGCATTTTTCTTTTCTTCCAAGCACGCCTCCAGCTGCTGTGCATATTCTTCGTGAAATGTGACCTTCGGAAAGCGTAATGCTTTTCCATCGACTGTTGTGCAAGATAAGCTTGCGAGTGCTCTAAAAAGCTCACTTAAAACCGCAGAATTTGCATTCAACTCCGATTCGTACTTTTGCCAAACTTCCTGGAAATGAATTCAACACAAAGTAAGCAAATCATTATCAACAAAGCATTCCAATTTTTGCCACTCCACCTTCATACAGTTCAAAAGAAGACTCAGATTTTCCTTTGAATTGTTGTTTGCTAGAATCTTTGGTATTGTATTAAAAATGCTGATCTTCTGCTTATCCAATCCCGTTTTCAAAAGTTTTTCAACACGCTCCATTTCCGGCATATTTTCGTCAACATTAAGCTTTTCGAGATCAGATAAAGACTACGTAAGAATCTAAAAATTAGTTGTCTCGTCAAAGACCACTTTCTTCGCCACCATAGACAATACCAGTGTGTCTTCACGTTCAAAGCATTCCGCCTCTCGCTCATTGAAAAAACTCAATTCTTCCATGCTAAAAACAATAACGAAAAATGGCGTAATCAAACACACCAAACACTCTTCTCTTCATCCCCCGGGAGGTTTATACGACAAGCCTTGCACACCAAATTGGCAAGGCAATCCCACCGCTATAAAATGCTACCACGACTAGCCCGCCGCGTCTTCTCCTTATATAGGCTCAGCACTGGGCCAAAAACCTTACAGCCATGCTGGAACACTAAATTCGTGCTATTTTTAAGAGCTATTAATGTTTGAAACCACCGTAGCACATTCTTCGGTATAGTTTATCTATGCAGTAATTTTCAAGCTTTCAACATATTTTTGCCAGAGAAATGCAACTTCCTTTTCCTTGCCCTCTACAAGCTGCTCCTGGCGACGGTGGTCGGTCTCACGCTGCGATTCGCTGAGTAACACTTCTTCACGTAAACGAATAATTTTCGTTTGTAAAAGTTGCTCTTTCTTTTTCGCCTTTTCGACCTTTTCTCGTAGCACCACTATCAGCGCTTGCTGATCATAAGCAAGTTTGTTTTTTTCGTGTGCATCTTGCTCCAATGTACGCTCCCGCTCGATACGGTCCACTACTCTTTCAAGATCTTGGCATCGCCTTTGCAGCGATTCAATCGTCAACTCGCGTTTGGCTACCCGAGCTTTCCAAGACCCAATCTGCTGACGCAAGGTGGCTATGACTTCACGCTTCTTTGTGCGAGCATTCGTAATATGCGACTTTAGCTCATCTACTACGGTCATGACTGCTTGCGCTTTCGCCTTCCAAGCTAGCACATCATTGTTTTTCATCTCAACTAGTAGCTTGAATTCACGTTCTGCAGCCTTTTGAACTTCGAGTTCGGATTCCTTTCGATGGATCTCGCTCTCCCAGTGTTCGGCTTGCTTTTCTTTGCCTGACAACAACGTTTCGAGCGCTGTTTCTCGTTGACGACCTTCAAATAGCTGCATTTCGTGTGTTAAGAGACCGCGCTTAGCTTCGGCAACCTGTGACTCAAGGTCATCGATACGGGTGACGGCGTCAGCCACAAAAGTCATGCGACATTCAAGTTCACCCGATGTCTCGTGAAGCTGCGTCGTCAACGCTGCCACTTGCTCCAGAAGCAAAGTCACCTCTGTATCGCGAGCTTGAAGCTGCTCACGTAGAACGCGCACCTCAACCGCAAACTTTGAATTGTTGTCGCTTTCTATCATTTTTTCCCTTCACGATCAAGTAATGCTCAACTAGACACCCCCAAGTACCATTTTAGATAGCGACGATTCATGAAACGTGACCTGTGAAAGATGGATGGTCGTTCGTTCCTAGAAATTTTATTCATCTACTCTTTTTGGCACATAAGTACCCGTATGTTCATTGGACAGTTGTTTGATCCCACCCTATCGAACATGAAAAGATCAGTCCTGTAATAAACCACTAGTTTCTATATTCATGGAACGAACCAAGTCACTTCCAGTGACGCCAGCAGCTATGTCACCTCCATGTTCACCACATCCAGTCGTATCCAAGTACGTAGTGGGTGTGTGCGCTATGGAGAAAAAGACGCGCTCGAAGCCTATGCGCGAGATACTGCGGCGCTTGGAAAAGAAGCGGCAGTTCGATGTGTTTGTATTTGACGACAACACAATACTCAATTGTCCTGTGGAAACGTGGCCAGTATGTGATGCACTTATCTCATTTTACTCAGCAGGTTTTCCACTGAGAAAGGCTGAGGAGTACGTGCGTCGTGTTCGTCCCGTCCTAGTCAATGACCTGAGCATGCAACACATACTTTTTGACCGTCGCAAGGTCTACGCGCTGCTTACGCGACATAATATTCAAGTCCCGCGTCATGTCATTGTAAATCGTGATATACCTGGAGGCAAGCAAGATGATTTTGTTGAGCACGAAAACTATGTAGAAGTGAACGGTGAACGCATCAATAAGCCGTTTGTGGAGAAACCAGCAAATGCAGAGGACCACAATATTTATATTTACTATCCAACAAGTGCCGGCGGTGGCAGCAAACGTCTGTTTCGTAAAATCGGGGATCGATCGAGTGAATTTTATCCCGACGTTAATTATGTTCGACGAGACGCTTCGTATATCTACGAAGAATTTTTGAATACGCAAGGAACAGACGTCAAAGTCTACACAATTGGGTCAAGTTATGGGCATGCAGAAGCCCGTAAATCGCCGGTGCTTGATGGTCGCGTTTTACGCGACTCAGCGGGCAAAGAAGTTCGTTATCCAGTTATTTTAAACTCGACCGAAAAGGAAATGGCGAGGAAAGTGTGTTTAGCTTTCCATCAAACAGTTTGCGGGCTTGATCTGCTGCGTGTTCGAGGCAGTTCTTACGTTTGTGACGTGAATGGTTGGAGCTTTGTTAAAAACTCGAAAAAATATTACGATGATTGTGGACTCATTTTGCATAATTATTTAGTCTCGGCATTGCGATCAAGGTACTTTCGCCAACGTCGTGCTAGTTCACTGACTTCGCTGAATACACAAATGTGTCCACAGTACGCTACAGAGCCCTGTGTCGCTGGTCATGATTGGCGCGAACATACTCGAAATCGTCAAAGCTCCGGATCAGATATATCGGAATCAAGTGTCGCTAGTGCTAGCAGCACTGGCTTCGCACTTGACGACGAAAATAACGAGGAGCTACGGTGCGTTATTGCTGTCGTGCGTCATGGCGATCGCACGCCAAAACAAAAGCTGAAAACTATTGTCTGGGAAAGAGATCTTATTGACTTTTACGAAAAACGACGCAGTGAACGCAAGTTTGATGAGGTGAAGGTGAAAGCAGTTGCTGACCTCCAGGAGCTGCTTGACCTTGTACGTAGCCTCATCAAGGCCTACGCTCCTGGTGTCGGCTCAAAAGATGCAGTGTGGGAAGTCGAGGGTGGAGACAGTTTTGAAAAATTATTGCAGTTAAAGCGAGTACTGGAGCGATGGAAATTTTCCGGAATCAATCGCAAAGTGCAGTTTAAGCCACACAAGAGCTATGCTGCTGCCACTGCTGCATATGCTGATGCTCCAGGTGGGGCAGTGAAACCGAAAATTCTTATGATTTTGAAATGGGGAGGTGACGTTACAGAACGAGGAAAGAAGCAAGGCGAAGAGCTGGGAAAGTTGTTCAGAAACAGCCTTTATCCAGTCGAAGTGGAAGAAGGGGGTTTACTTCGTTTACATTCAACATTTCGTCATGATCTCAAGATCTTCACATCTGACGAAGGACGCGTGCAGGTGACAGCAGCTGCTTTTGCAAAAGGATTTTTAGAGCTGGATGGCGATCTTACTCCTATTCTCGTCAGTCTGGTCACAACGTTGGGGAGAGGTATGTGTATATCACTTCGTGTCATAATGTTGATGAACTGTCGGTAATTTTGTTGTTTCTTTAATATTTAGACGCTAATAAAATGCTGGACCATTCGGGGCAAGCTGATGCAAACGAGGAAATGCAGACTATCAAGGTCAAACTTAGAGCGTTGTTGCAGCGAGATTACTCTTCAATGGACGAGATGAAGGCTGCCATTGCACCACTAAAGACAGAGTCAATCATTCAGGCGCTGGATTTTTTACGCAATCCGAAGGAAGCGTTGATTAGCCTGTTGGAACTTGTTCGCAAGCTTCGGGCTGAAATTGCTGAACGTGTTCAAGATAAACGTAAGTTTGGTAAAATTGATTCCGAGGTACTCACTAAACACTAATTGAAATACCTCATAGCAGAATCTGATGAAGTAACCCCCCTTTGCATGGGTGAAACCTTTTCCCTCATGTTCGAGCGCTGGGATAAAATCTATCGCGACTTTTACTCGTCAAAGACGGATACATTTAATCTTAGCAAAATACCTGATGTTCATGACTGTATTAAGTATGATCTACTTCACAACTCATGCGTAAGATGGAAATGTGGTCTCGAGTTATTCAAGCTCGCTGAGGCTCTTGCGCGGTGCTACGTGTCACAAGAATATGGCATGGACATCGCGGAGAAACAATCCATTGGCAACCGTGTCTCGCAAGCTCTATGCGCAAAAATTCGAGCAGATATTGTGACTGTTATGTCAGCATCTGCCGAACAGGAACACGTGTCTCTCTCATCAGGAAATTTGTATGGCAATAGCGACGTTGTCGAGGACGGCACGGCTGATACTGGTGATCAGGATATCGAGCACCACGGATACCGATTGGACCCTTCCTACGCAAAAGAATTGCGTATCAAAAGTCCTGGGACTCAGATTCGTACGCGATTGTACTTTACGAGTGAGAGCCATCTACACACGTTGTTGAATGTCCTGCGTTTCCAATGCCCATCATGGCGCGCAAGGCATGAAGGCGGCGAAGATGACGAATACGATATTTCGCTTGAGCAAGAGAAGTTCAGCAATGAAATATTAAAACGCATGGGCATCAGCGTTAATGATCACATGACACAACGCAAGTACGTCTATCGCGAGTCAAAGCTCATCTCTGATAGCAGTCGACGAGCTTTAGACCGAGTTGCCGAGATTAACTACCTCGCGCACATCGTGATCCGAGTCTTCGAAACCCCGTCGTTGCCAGAAGATAGTGAGGACCGATTTCGCGTTGAAATCTCCTTTTCCCCGGGTGTAAAGGACGGCTTAGCAGACTCACCTGACGGTGCAGATGGAGTGGAGGACATGATTTTCCTCACTAAGAATATGACTGGCGTCATGTTTGAAGACATGCTTGCGACTTGTGTCTCGTCCGTCCAGAGCTCGTCTGTTTAGCCAAAATTCATCGGTGCCGATAAGTTCTCAATTATTATTAACGCGTACGAGCAAATACTTTCGTCTGTAAGTTTTAGAAATCTGCGTAATCTCACTATTTACTCCTGACCAAGCCAATTCGTAAAACAATGCGCATGATAAGCGGTCGATACTGCCCCAAGCGACGCGATTGAAGCAGGGAGTGTCTTTTTCGTGCGCATTGCACGCAAACCCATAGCACCCATGGTAATAGAGGACACAAGCAGTGCCACACCATGTCCGTCGGTCGTCTCGCCCTTTTGGAGCAGATAGCCCGCAAAGCCGAAGCCTGCACTAAGTGTCACTCCTGCTACCAGTGATGGAACGCTTTTTGTCCTAAGATAGCCGAAGACACCACCATCGTGTACGTTGGATGCTGTGCCATTCCGAAAGTACTCAATATTTTTTACCTGCTATACGTTATACGCTTCTCTCTAATCTACTGTATTAATTTTTGGTTGTTCACATAGTAAAGTAGCTTTTCGTAACGCAGCATTTCTTAGTCTTTCGGTCAGACTCAAAGCATTTCTTAGTCTTTCGGTCAGACTAAAAGAACTCGTTGGTTGGCCCAAGCTTTAATAACCGTAATTGACTTATAAATATTACAGCTATAGAAATGAGATACGGATCTGGTGACTTTAATCCAGCACCTAAATGTAGTGTGTGCGGAGTGTAAAGTGTCTAGTATGTAATATCTGAGAGTACCACAGCGTGCTCTGTATTCATTGCTACACCCAGCGCGTCCTCAAAAGTAGCAAGGCGGATGAAGAAAATTTGAGTGCGGGCGCAGCTCTACGGAGGCTG